AAATCCACCCTGTTTCCCCCACCCCTGTCCTTTGTGGTAGTCCCACGTTTCCGGGCACTAGGGAATAAGAACACACCTCCCTGCATTTCCCAGGACAGATCCGCACCTTTGGGGTTTTCAGCGTAACTTGGACACCACTCTCGGCCCTCCCAGCACATTCCCATTCCCGTGACCCACTGTCGCGTGCGCACGTGGGCACCAGGCTCGCCTGGTCTCATCCATCCCCTCTCTGCTGATTCTCGTCCTCCTCCAAGTCATCATTAGGCTGAGAGGTTTTGGTCAAAGGCAACCTCTCGGTTTCCAGGGGGCTGTCGGAACTGGATGCGGACCCTGCGCCCTCAGGCTGGCCCGTCCGGGGCCTGTGTTAGTCTTCTGGGGCCAGCCTGGTGGCTTAGACAAGAGACATTTATCTCCTCCAATTTCCGGTGGCTGCAAGACCCAGATCAAGGTGTCGGCCGTGTTGGTTTCCCCCGGGGCCTCTCTCCTGGGCTTGACGATGGCCACCTGCTCGCTGTGCCCTCTCCTGCGCATCCCTCTGTGTGTGTGTGTGTGTGTGTGTGTGTGTGTGTGTGTGTGTGTGTGTCTTAATCCCCTCTTCTTAAAAGGACAGCAGCCATATTGGATCCAGCCCCATCCTAATGACCTCGGTTGATGTGACTTACTGCTTGCAAGATCCTGACTCCAAATACAGTCACATCCGGGGCCCTGGGGCTCAGCCTTCACCATCTGAACGTGGGAGGCGGGGGGACATTGCACCCCTCACAGGATCTGTGCACCGGGGAAGTTGTATGGAAACGGCATCCCATGGGGCAGGAGACATGATTGGCCCCGCCTTGAATTCTGCTCCTTGGCAAATTGCACAAGGAGCAAACAGAGAGCCGCTGGGTTTAGATGTTACTAGTATTTCGCCATCACCCATCGGTGTGACCCAGGGAAAGCGAGGGCAGGACTTGGATCCTCTGTCGGATCCTATTGCATGTGTCCCAGAATAAAAAGCAAACTTACTCTGAGCAAAGCCGGCCTACAAAGCCATATTCACAATAATAGCCAAGACACGGAGCATCCTTCCTGTCCATCCAGGGGTGATGGGTAAAGAAAACGTGGAGTATGCCGTGGAATATTATTCAGCCGTAAAAAAGGACGAAGTCTTGCCATGTACTACAACGTAGATGGAACTCGATGGCATAAGCCAGACAGAGAAAGACAAATACAATTTCACCTCTTGTGTGTAGAATCTAGAAACAGGAGAAAGCACCAGAGAACAGAGGCAGGGGACTGGGGGCAAACTGAACCAAGGGAGTCAAAAGGTACAAACTCCCAGTTATGAAATAAACGAATCCTGGGATGTACAGCGTGGCAACTGTAGTTAGTGACACTGTATCACATATTTGAAAGTTGCTAAGAGAGGAGATCTGAAAAGTTCTTTTTACCAGAAAAATATTCTGTAACTGTGCGGTGACAAATGTTCACTAGACGTGTGGTGGTCCTTTTGCAACAGATACAAATGTGGAATCATGATTATCCTATATAATAAAAGCCCCAGTCTCTTGCGTTGGGGAGGCAACTAATCGATGTGTCTCTCTCACGTCAATGTTTCTCTCTCTCTATTCCCCGTCCCCCACCCCACCTCCCTTCCACTGTCTCTGAAAATCAATGGAAAAAATATCCTCGGGTGAGGATTAACAAAGAAAATAAAACAAGAAGGGGCTGGCGGAAAGGGTCCCGGTCTTGGTGTCACTTCTGCGGAAGGTCTGGTGGCGATGTCCGTGTAGGACATAAAAAAATGACGCTCGCCAAAACCGGTTTGGCTCGGTGGATAGAGCATCGGCCTGTGGACTGAAAGGTCCCGGGTTCGATTCCGGTCAAGGGCATGTACCTGGGTTGAGGGCACATCCCCAGTGGAAGATGTGCAGGAGGCAGCTGATTGATGCTCTCTCTCATCGATGTTTCTAACTCTCTATCTCTCTCCCTTCCTCTCTGTAAAAAATCAATAAAATATATTTTTTTAAAAAATGACGCTCTCCACCACCTCAGTGAAGGGTGACGCTGAGCGCCCCGGGATGCCCCGCACCCCGACATCCTGCCTCCCCTCCCCCAGACAGCTCTTCCTTGACATCTCCGCTCAGAGGCCGTTCTCCTCCCTCAGAATGAATGGCTTCTCTCTCCTTTTGTCCCGCATCGCGCTGCTCACGGGCTGGCTCCCCGGGCCAGACCGCTCTGCACCCACCGCCCGCCCGGTAATTGCTGATGATAAATACCCGCTGAGTGAGGGCGTAGGCGGGGCTCTTCGGCGCCGGAAGGCTTGCTAAACCCTTGCCCTTCTCATTCTAGAACATTCTCTGCTGTTAGTGTCTCTCCTCTCAAGTAATCATCTTTGCCTAATCATTCCCTATACTCCAGGCTCGATTCCTACCCCCCACCCCTGGCTTAAAGGAAAGAAAAGGAGTGGGTAGCTGTTCGTGTTAACTTAAGATGCCTCTCAGTTGCCAGCCAGTTGTGGGAGAATTGTGTCCCTTTCAAAACCTGGCACGATTTGAGAGAGCGCTTTTATTCTCACCCCCTCCCTGAGTGGGCTGGTAGGTGGTTCAGCAATTTAACAAGGGAGTGAGGAAAGGCGTTTGAAATTCAACTGTGTCTGAAGTTGCATGAAAACGAGGATCAAGACAGGCTGGGGGGTGTGGCCAGGGCGGGGCCAGAACCCCAGGTTTGGTCCTGAAAGGAACCAGTAACTTCCCAGGAGGGTCCTGGAGACCCCAGGAAGGCCAGGGACAGGTCGGAGGAGCTGGGGAGGGTGAGGCACAGAGGTGGCCGGGCCGGGGCCAGGCAGGAGGTGACGGGAACTGGGGGCTGTGGGTTTGCAAGACAGAAGGAGCCGACCGACCTCCATCTATCCCAGGAAGATGCCAAGGCCCAACCCTTCAGGAATAGAGACCGCGGGCCACAGGGGCTCGGGGAGCGTTGTGGGGGCTCTTCCACGTGGTCATGGCTGGGGGAGCTCTGACCTGCCAGTGCTGCCTGTTCAGACTGGAGTCCAGAGCAGCTGTTAGCGACAATGCACCCTGCACGCAGGACCACCCCGCCCTGCAGGGGGCGAAGGTGAGGGCTGGGACCGGCGTCTTCAAAAGGAAAGGGTCTTCGGGTGCTCCTCAAACCTCTGTTCCGTGACTCTCAGCTCCACTGTTTAACAACCACCTGGGATGCGTCTAAAAAATGCAGCTTGCTGGTCCAGAGAGGCTGGCTCAGTGGACTGGGGTGGAACCCGGAAACCTGCACGTTAAACCAAGGCCCCGGGCGGTTCTGATGCAGGTGGCCCCGGAACCCCGCTTTGGGAACCAGTGCCAAAGCACCCACTTCTTAAACTGGAATGTGCATCTGCATCACCCGGGGGTCTTGTGAAAATGCAGATTCCGGTCCAGCAAGTCGGGGGGTGGGAGCCCAGAGGCTGCCCGACTGGCACTCTCCAGGTGACGCAGGTGAGGCTGGCCGTGGCTCACCCGGAACCGCTCACAGAAGCTGACCCCAGGCTCTGAGCTCAGGCCCACTGAACCGGAAGCTCTGGGGCTGGGCCCAGCCTCGGTTTTAGCCGGACCTCCGTGATCCGGGAGTCTGAGAGCCACTGCTAAGCCACGGAGGAGCTTAAAGACACAGGCTGTCCTCTCTGTGCTGTCTGTCTCTGTGCAGAGGTAGAAGAAGTCCATGTTGGAGCCAGGAAAGCGGAGGCGACTGCCCCAGGGTGGGTGACTGTGCCCTGAGTGAGCGGCTAAAGGAGAGGGTGCAAGAAGCCAGGGGGCCTCGCCGGGTTGGACAGTGGGAGGCCTGGGAGGAAGCCCCTCCCGGGTTGGGAACAGCCCTCTGTGGCCCCTGCCCTGCCTGTGTCCTCAGTGACCACCGGCCTTCCCCTCTAGCTTCAGGCCGCGGTCACCAGGCAGGCATTCCTTCTCTTGCCTCCTGTCCCCCGGCACTCCTGGGGCCCAGGAGCGAGCCCTGGGGAACATGACCTGTGACAGTTCCTCCAGGATCAGCCACAAGGGTCTGATCTTGACCGTGACCAGGTCAGGGCGGTACCTGGCGGTGGCGTTTAGGGGAGTGGCTGGCAGGGCAGAGCTGAGAGCCACCGCCTCTGTTCCCGGTGCGTATACGACCGGCTCGAGATAGATGAATGTCACGGTGACTTTAAATTACACTCTGCACTCGGTGACTCTGTGCTCAGTTGCTTAGATGTAGAGTCGTCTGCTCAGCCCTTAATGGTATTTCCTAAGCTCTGGTGTGAAACCAGGAGGTTACACAAGTTAACCCACCAGCACCAGCCAGCAGGCAACGCTCGCGTGAGCCCAACCCCCCAGTCCTGGCTGTTGGGGTCCCCAGCACGAAGGGGTCCGAGGCCTTCAGGGAAGCCTGGTCCGCCCTCCCCACCGGGTCTGACTGCTGGCGGGGGAGGGGGACTGTGCTCAGAGCCATTAAAGAGGAAGTGGCCTCAGACTCAGGGTTCCTGACAGCACTTGGGATGCCGTGCTCACACTCGCCCAACTTAGCGAACTCCCAGCTTCCCAACTGCACCATCCTCCCCGCCCCCCTTGCGAATCGTGCGCTTGATGATTCATTTGCGGACAAAGGGAGAACCGACCCCCAGGACCGGTTTATGAGAAAGTCCCTGCTCGCCCCAGGCGGCTCCTCTGTCTGAGGGTCTGTTAGCTAGGTTGGGGATTCCAATGGAAGAGCCATTACCCTTTCCTTCTCCCCACTCCTGGGCACCAGGCAGGTACACCTCAGGGCAGGCACTGGGGTTGGATCAGTGTCGTTGCAGACCGGGCCTCTGTGGTTGGAGAAGCAGCCGGCGTCTTCCTTCTCTCCTGGGGCAGCTGGGAGCTTGGTTTAATGGGGACTGTGGGCGGGGCGGGCGGAGGTCAGAGGGGACCCGGTGGAGAATCAGGCAGGCGGGTTTGGTTCTGGGGGTGACTGTCCCTCCTCTAACTCAGCCTGTGTCCCTGCCCCCCCTCCAGCTGGTGCTGCCGGAGTACTCCATCCACAGCCTCTTCTGCATCATGTTCCTGTGTGCGCAGGAGTGGCTCACCCTGGGGCTCAACGCCCCGCTGCTGTTCTATCACTTCTGGAGGTAAGGCTACGGGGCCCGGGCTGCCCTTCCCCGTTTCTGTGCGGGTGGCCGCCCCAGACCCTCCGACGGCCGCCAGCGAGCGGCTTTCTCTCCCCGCCTGGGAGAACCTGCTTCCCTGCTTCTTAGGCAGCAAGTCCCGTAAGGAAGGCTCTGTGCAGGCCCCACTGCCCACAGCCTCACCCGGGGCCAGTGTGAGAAGCAGGGACAGCACAACTCAGAATAGGAGCTGGAGGGGGAGAGGTAGCCAGTGTCTCTGCACCTGGAACGTGACTTTGGCATAAAGAAGAACAGGAGGGACTTGTCTTTTTAATCCCTGACAGGGTCTGGCCTGGCCTGGCAATTCGTAAGCGCTCAGAAAATGAAAGAAAAAGGAAGTAGGAGGAAGGGGTCCTTTAAAATGAGAGTCCCACCCGGCAGGCGGCCGGCGTGGCTCAGGGGTTGAGCATCATCCTATGAACCAGGAAATCCCAGTTCGGTTGCCCGTCAAGGGCACATGCCCGGGTTGTAGGCTCGATCCCCAGTACGGGGCGTGCAGGAGGCAGCCGATCCATGATTCTCCCTCATCACTGATGTTTCTATCTCTCTCTCCATCTCCCTTCCTCTCTGAAACCAATAAAAATAAAAAAGAAAGAGGGTCCGGGTAGAGGTCAGTATTTAAGCCGAGGGATGGCTGACTGAGGCAGGATTGTGGTCCAGTGGCTTCGAGCAGTGAGCACGGCTCTGTCTGTCTGTCCACACCTGCACCTGCTCCGATACCTGTGGCTACGCACCGCAGGCCCCTCCCCCAGCCCTGGAGAAGCCGGCCCTGCCAGGTGCCGCCCAGGTCCCACAGGTGACTCGGCCTTCCTCCTGTCGGAGCAGCTTTGCCAGTGGGTGAGGTCACCAGGGCCTCTGCAGATCTGAGAACTGGGGGAGCCGCCATCTGGGAGGGGAGAGTGCCTGAGCCTCTGTTAGTTTCAGGCCGGGATCCAAGCCGAAGGCAGATAACTGCCCGGCAGGGCTTCCTGGGGGCAGTCGCCCTCGGGAGGGCTGGGCCCCGGTGACTTCAGATGTTGCTTCTCAGCCTCAGAACCAGCAACGCCGTGTCCTCTTCCCCCGCAGGTACTTCCATTGCCCAGCGGACAGCTCCGAGCTGGCCTACGACCCGCCGGTGGTCATGAACGCAGACACCTTGAGCTACTGTCAGAAGGAGGCCTGGTGTAAGCTGGCCTTCTACCTCCTCTCCTTCTTCTACTACCTGTACTGGTGAGCCTGCGCCCCTCCCGGAGGGTCTGACTCCTGCAGGGCTTGGTGGGGTGGGGGTGCGGGGAGGTGTTTCAGGCCGGCCTCCTGGGCTTGGGGAGGTAGCCCATGAGCCTGTGGGATTTGATGCCACCTTCTGACTTGTATCGGGAGCCAGGGCTTCTGTTGTGTATGAAGTGAGGGGCAGCGGTCCCAACGTCTATAGCAATCTTTGGCACATCTAAGTGCTCAAGAAATTTTTTTTTAAGTGTAAAGCAGGTTGACATGATCTATCCAAGATAGCACCACCCTCCTGCCCAGGTTTACTTGATGGTAGAGACGGTGTCTGTTTCATTCACCTCTGTGTCTGCAGTGCCTGGCACACAGTAGGTGCTCACTAAACCCTGGCACACAGTAGGTGCTCACTAAACCCTGGCACACAGTAGGTGCTCACTAACCCCTTGCTATTGCCAATGGTATAGGCTCCAGACAAGCTTGGGGCTGCGCACTCCATCTTTTACCGGAGACACACTGTGCTCTCCTAACAAATGTGACAGGGATGAGAACGTGGCAGGAGTGGCCCGGGGTCCGGCTTTGGCAGGTCCCTCTTGGGAGAGCCAGTCCCGGCCCCTGCGGGCTCCCACTAATGCCTCCTCTCCCCCTTCTTTTTGCCTTCAGCATGATCTACACTTTAGTGAGCTCTTAACTTAGAGACCACGCACGTCGTCAGAGACTGGACAGGAGCGAGCTGAGCTGAGAAGTCACTTGTGCAGACGACTGGAGAAGGGACGGGTGGGTGAGGAGGAGACCTGGCTGACACTGACTGCCTCGGAAGGAATGGAAGGAACGGAGCGGCGGCAGCGGGAGCTGAGTTAACCGCCGTGTGTTGTCACCTGTGAACCACAGCAAACATCGCTGTTTCCCGAGTCCGCTTCATCTCGCAGCTCCCAGCTGGTCCGCTCTGGTTTCCTGGACTGTGGGAGCGGGGGCTGGGAGGCCCGAAGGTGCCTGCTACCGAACGGAACGACCAGAGTCAGGCTGAGTCTGTGGGACCACAGAGGGCCTCAGAGGGCCTGGGCTACCCAAGGCTCTGTTTCAATCCCTGCCAGGGCCGGCCATGCCCTTGCCCTCCGCGGAGGGTCCGGAAGGTGCACCATGGCCTTCGCTGTGGCCAGCGTGACCTGCAGGGTCACCGTGCTCCCCCCTGCGTTGTGAGAGCCCAGCTTAGTGACGCCCTGAGCTGGGTTTGGGGCAACGCGTTGCTAATAAAGTTCCCCAAAGTCACGGATGTGGGGTGGGGCGGGGTGGGAAGGGGTAACCAGAGAAAAATGACTTGGATAAACATTGACTGCACGTTCAAGGTGTTACCAGCCAAAGCCATCACAGCCCCCAAGTGCAAATCCACCGGTCGGCACTCATCAAAGCCACGTCTTGCAAGGAACCCCCAGCTGTTCCCAAGGCCGCTCTGAACAGTGGGCACTCGGCAGCTCGGAAAGGAGACGACATAGTAACAGCTTCGATTTACGATGCCGCATCGTTCATGCTGCTTAACCAGAGGACGCTCACTTCTTTAGGGTTTTCCACGCGACACGCTCTCCGTTTTGAGGAGGAGCTGTGGCAGGAGGTGGTCAGGAACGTAAAGGCTGAGATGCGGAAGATGCTCAGATTGGGCGCAGTGACTTTTGACCTTATTCCCCCCACTTCCCCTCTTCCCTCCTGTTTGACACACGGGCTGTTTCTTGTACATGTGCCCAGCTCCCGCCGGAGCCCCGTGACTCAGGCTCAGGACCGGTGTTGGTGGGACATGCGTGTGCTATGTTGGACACACGTGTGCTGTGTCACAGCGCGGGGACAACTTGAGTATCCGGCCGACCTGGCCGTCTCGTGTAGGCCTCATCCCTGGCTGGCTGCGTCTCCATAGGGTTGGTGAACTGGTAGGTAGAGAAGGGCAGGGTTTCCAAAGGGCATTTGGCTTCTAAAAATTCTACAGGAAACAAAAGGCAGACGTCTGCCTTCAGAGCCGGGGACATCGAGGCGGTATTTCTGGGGCCAGACTCCCCCTCGACCGATCCCGTGGGCCCGGCTGGGTACGTGTGGTTGGGACAGAGTTGCCTTCAGGGCTGGTTGCCTCGGTCTTTGACGTCATTCCTCGAGGAGACCTTCGTCCCGAGAAACAAGCCTTGTGTCCAGGCTGCTCACAGCAGTTCTGTCTCCACAGCCGCCTCACAGATACAGCGGATGAGGGCATCCGGGGCCCAGCTCATCCTCCCCGTGGAGCTGTTGGGTTTAGTTGTGTACTTGCCTCCTTCCAGAAAGATTTGAATGAGCTTGTAATAGCGGACACCAGGACACAGGGACTGCTCTAATGGGAATTCAGCTTTATAACGAAGATGAGCACAGAGACACCCGTTTCCTGAGAGAGTCTATTTACCGTGACGGAGCATTAAATCCACGGTTTCTCTTAGCGGTAAATTGCAGCAATTCACAGTCACACAGCGCTTAACATTTCACACTTTGCTTTCACTCCTTCTCCTTGGACCCTCCTCTCAAGCCTAAGAAGTTGATACTGTTCTTTTTCTCTAAGTGAGGCAGCTGAAGCCCAGAGAAGGCCAGTGACTCACCTACAGTCACACAGCAGTCACAGACCTGCCTCTGAAGCTACGAGTACATTGTCTGACTTTAAAAACCCCATGTCCGCCCTAGCGGGTTTGGCTCCGTGGTTAGAGCGTTGGCCTGCGGACTGAAGGGTCCCGGGGTCAATTCCAGTCAAGGGCACGTACCTGGGTTGCAGGCTCGGTCCCCGGCCCCGATCGGGGGTGTGTGCGAGAGGCAACCAATTGATATGTCTCTCTCACATCGATGTTTTTCTCTCTTTCTCTCCTCCTCCTTTCCATTCTCTCTCAGAATCAATGGGGGAAATGTCCTCGGATGAGGATTGGCAAAAAATAAAAGACGTTAAAACCCATGTCCTTTCCTGAGTCCCACCTGAGTGCTGGCAAAGCAGCTTAGGGTCCGATGAAAGCTTGGTTGGTAACATCAACTTTCGGAGAAGAGGGCTTCAAAATAGAGCCATTGCGGACGCTCACGCGTGGTTGCCGGTCCCCTGGTGCCAGCCTTGCTCAGGTCCTTTGAAAGCTGCCAGCACCTCGGAGACAGTGCTTATGTTTCTGAAAGAGAAACATCCACCGTTTCCCTCCCACAAGTTGCTCTGGGGGAACAACACAAAAACCCCAAGGAGTTGGTTGGGAGTTTGAGCCGCTTTTCAATCCCTGGGGCAGCCGACCATGAGGATCAGAGAGAGAGCAGAGCCCGTGGGGCATTTGCCAGGACCTCGGCCGCCGGCACCATGATCCCACAGAGCAGCCTGTTCTGATCAGGGACTGGGAGGCTCAGGA